TTACACAAAGATAAATAAATTACATACAAATCAATATACTGTAAACTTTTAAACACCAGCACTATATGATCTTGAATATGAAAGTTTAAAACAGGGTTAATGCCTGAAAACAAGTGTAGTAAAAATACAAATATAAGCATGAGTCACGTACTTTATCTTTCATTGTTTACTGGATCAGCACATGTATTAGTACTTTGTGGCAGAAATAAGAAAAAAAGCACAATATACCATAATACAAGTACAAGATTCAGTATTAAAGTATAGGCATTGTATTGATTTACTTACCCGTAGACTTCTTTTTATACTTATCAGTATAAGTCAAGTACACTTGACTATACTATTGTAAAGTATATGAAATATAGTTTAGAAAAAGTAAACTTTAAGTACACTGCTGGATTTTAAGTATGAAATTAGTGCACTTTTAGTATACTTGAATAAACTTCTTTTTGATAAGGGATGTTTAGAAAACATTTCAAAAAGAACTTGGTGGAAAAATACATCATTTTACTTTAATCACTGGCCAAGATGCAGCTTCAGCTGGCTTATAAATGAAAATCCTGTAATTTGTTATCATCTTATGGTCAGAGTTAATATTGTGTGATTCCCACCAGCTGTTTCAGCATCAGTAGCAAAAAACAAACTTCTTCAGATTTCAAACAATTTTCTGAATAAGATTATTTGTAGATTTATGCTGAATGAAAACCTGTCAGTCAGTGGCTAACATGGAAAAGATTGAGAGCTTTGATGTGCGGTGTACTGTGCCTCTTATCAGGGAACACAAGGAATGCTTTAAGCCCATTACTAACTCTTTCAGTCCAAATGGAGCTACCGCAGCCTGGGGGAGGACATAAAAGTAACTCCCATCATCTTTCAAAGCCCTTACACCTTTAATTTGTTTAGACAAACTGCCCAAAACATGTTGTCCCCAACGATGGATGAGCCTGGGGTCACTGAGCAGGTTCTAGCTCTTAACTATGACTCCTGGCATGTGCAAAGCCAGATAACAAATAGCTTGCACCAAAAGGAATATTTAAGATCCACTCGGAAACCTTCCGGCTGTCACACCAGTCCATCCACATCTTCCTCTGGGAATTCTCTTTTTGAAGTCGTATTTTTTTTCCCCCAAACACTAGCAGCACCTCCACCCTGATGCCATGCACGATATGCGGGGAAGTTTGTAAATTTCGATGCAGCTGCAGCTTAAATTAGAGGCTTTCTGTGCTGTGCACTGTGAACCACATGTGTGCCTGTGTCGGCTGCAGCGTCTGCAACTTAGATCATTCTCACACTTTGGTCGTACAGCACAATGTGGATGTAGAGGTGCGACTGGAGGAGCGTCCTGCTGTAGTCCTTACTGGGGCCAGACTGAAACACAAGAGAGAAACAAAGAGTTATTCAAACTTGCTGATGTGTGGTTTTAATTCACCCTAAAAAAAGCAGCTTTTTCACGAAGAGGTTCATCAGGGCAGAGGTGTCAAAAATATAAATGTTTATTACTCAAGTAGAAGTATAAATCAGCTGTTAACAAACACTTTTGTAGAAGTTAGTTTTAACTTAAACTTTTCACCCAAATAAAAGTATGAAAGTACCATTTTTAAAACCAAAGTATAGAAGTAAAAGTAATGCAGGAAAAAATGTTAAGCACAGATACTTTAAACTAGCCTGATAAACCAGACTACATGTGAGATTAAATGTGTAATTTAGTCTGGCCCCGATGAATGAGACATCAGAAGATTGATGATGAGAACAACCCATTGTTTTTCAAACCATGTCTGTGCCTATTGGCCGCTTCCTGCTCACTTTTCAATAAAAACCCCAAGTCTAATCCTTCCAAAACTGATTTCAAAGCGGAGTCAAACGAGAACTGTTTAATAGTTGTTGTCATATTCCTTGTGTTATTTCCAGTGTCAGCTTTGTCGTAACGCCCTCAAAACCCTGCCCGCTTTGCATCCAGAAATTCAAAACATCTCTGCGTTATGATTGGCCCGCCAGTTCTAGGGCATTGATCGAGGCTAGACCAAACTCGCAGGCAAAAATTATTTTGGCTGCTCGCGGGTGGGGCTAATTTACTAGGCTAACTTTAAACCTTATCCTGGTTGCTGCACTAACCTATTAAAGGAAAATTCCGGTTTTTAACACTTTTAGCCCATTTCCTGTAGTGTCCAGGATGAAATCGAATGATCGACACCAAAATGTTGACGATTGGTCCTGTCTCTGCTTTTTGGCTCATGCAGAATCCCCCCCTGGCTGCTTCAGAATGGCTTCCATA